CACGTCAATTGGAGTCTTGGCAATTTTGAAATCCAAATACTTGAACTTGTCAAGTACCTTTTCAATGTAGTGAGACTGTGATAATGCTAGACCTTGTGGAGTCTTGCGAATTCTGATTCCTAAGATCACATCAGTAACTCCTAAGTCTTTCATGTCGAATTTGCTAGCTAACATGCGCTTTGTAGCATTTATATCTGCCATACTTTTGCTTATTATCAACATGTCATCAACATATAAACAAACAATGACTTCATGACCTGGAGTATTTTCAATGTAAACACATTTGTCACACTCGTTAATTTTAAATCCATTTGCCAACATTGTTTGGTCAAATTTTGCATGCCATTGTTTGGGTGCTTTTTTAAGTCCATAAAGCGACTTAACAAGTTTGCACACTTTCTTTTCTTTACCAGGAACCACAAAACCTTCAGGTTGTTCCATGTAAATTTCTTCCCCCAATTCTCCATTTAGGAAAGCTGTTTTAACATCCATTTGATGGATTTCAAGACCATACACGGCCGCTAGTGCTACTAACATCCTAATAGATGTTATCCTCGTTACTGGCGAGTAAGTGTCAAAGTAATCAAGACCTTCCTTTTGTCTATAACCTTTGACAACAAGTCTTGCCTTATATTTGTCAATAGTTCCATCAGCTTTAATTTTCCGGTTAAAGATCCATTTGGAACCTAAAGTCTTATTTCCTGGAGGAAGATCAACCAATTCAAATATATGATTATCCAACATTGATTGAATCTCACTATTGACTGCCTCTTTCCAAAATGATTAATCAGAAGACGACATAGCTGCTTTAAAAGTTTGAGGCTCATTTTCAAGCAAGAATGTCACAAAATCTGGTCCAAAGGACGTAGATGTTCTTTGACGTTTGCTACACCTTGGATCTTCTATACTTGGAGTATTTTCCTTTGGTTCTTCCCGAGGTCGTTTAGGTTTTTCACTTAACGACTCGCTTTCAGTTTTATACGGATAGATGCTTTCAAAGAATTCAGCATTATCTGATTCCATTACCGTATTAACATGAATCTCGGGATTATCAGATTTATGAACCAAAAATCGACATGCTTTACTATTTGTAGCATATCCAATGAAAACGCAATCTACTGCTTTTGGTCCAATTTTAACTCTTTTAGTTTAAAGGAACCTGTACCTTTGCTAGACACTCCCACACTTTGAAATATTTCAAGTTAGGTTTTCTTCCTTTCCATTTTTCATATGGAATAGATTGTGTTTTGCTGTGGGGTACTCTGTTGAGTGTTCGGTTAGCTGTAAGGATAGACTCCCCACACAAACTCTGAGGTAATCCGGAACTTATTAATAAAGAATTCATCATTTCTTTTAATGTCCGATTTTTCCTTTCCGCAATTTCGTTGGATTGAGGTGTGTAAGGTGCAGTAGTTTGATGGATAATTCCATATTCCGAACATATTTATGCAAACGGAGATTCATATTCTCCACCTCTATCACTTCTAATCATTTTGATCTTTTTATTCAATTGATTTTCTACTTCATTCTTGTATTGCTTAAATGCTTCAATTGCTTCATCCTTACTATTAAGCAAATAAACATAGCAATATCTAGTGCAATCGTCAATAAAAGTAATAAAATACTTTTTTCCACCTCTAGATGGTGTTGACTTCATATCGCAAATGTCAGTATGAATTAAGTCTAAAGGATTTGAATTCCTTTCAACAAACTTATAAGGATGTTTTACAAACTTGGATTCAACACATATTTGACATTTCGATTTATTACACTCGAATTTAGGCAATACTTCTAAATTAATTAATTTCCGCAAGGTTTTATAATTGACATGTCCTAAACGAATATGCCACAAATCATTTGACTCCAATAAATAAGAAGAAGCTGAAATTTATTCATACTGTCAACAACCATTACATTGAGTTTGAAAAGGCCCTCCGTGAGGTAGCCTTTTCCAACATACATTTCGTTCTTGCTTACAACAACTTTATCAGAAACAAATACACATTTGAATCCATTCTTTACAAGTAAAGAAGTAGAAACTAAATTCTTCCTAATAGTAGGAACATGAAGAACGTTGTTCAGCGTTAACACCTTGCAGGAAGTCATCTTCAGGAATATCTTCCCATAACCTTCAATCTTGGCTGTTGCATTATTTCCCATGGAAATTTCTTCTTCGGGACCAGCAGTAGAGTAAGTCGCAAATGCTTCTTTGACAGCACAAACATGTCGAGTGGCTCCAGAGTCAATCCACCACTCCTTCGGATTTCCAACTAGGTTGCATTCCGAAAGCATTGCGCAAAGATCATCAATGTCATTATTCTTCTCCACTATGTTGGCTTGTTCTTTCTTATTATCCTTTTTTGGGAGACGACAATCAGGGCTTTTGTGACCGACTTTTCCATAATTGTAGCAGCTGCCCTTGAATTTCTTTTTGTTCTGCTCCTTAGTTTGTCCAGAAGACCTCTTCCTCTTCTTACTTTTTGGAGCAGTCTCTTCAACGATATTAGCTCCCATGATCGTTGAATTTGCACGAGACTTCTTCTCGGCTGTTTTATTGTCTTCCTCGATCTTTAGACGTATCACAAGATCTTCCAACTTCATTTCTTTGCGTTTGTGCTTCAGATAGTTCTTGAAATCTCTCCACGAAGGAGGTAATTTTTCAATCATAGCAGCTACTTGAAATGCTTCATTCACGACCATACCTTCAACTATAAGGTCGTGAATAATAAGTTGAAGCTCCTGAACTTGGGTTCCCACAGTTTTGCTGTCTATCATTTTATAGTCTAGAAACTTGGCAACCACGAACTTCTTCAAGCATGCATCTTCTGTCTTGTACTTCTTCTCAAGTGCGTCCCATAATTCTTTCGAAGTATTCATTGCACTGTACACATTGTACAAGTCATCTTCTAAAGCACTTAAGATATAGCCTTTGCAAAGAAAATCTGTCTGCTTCCATGCCTCAACAACCATGAACTTTTTATTATCCGGCATGTCCGCAGCAGGCACTGGAGGCTCTTCACTAGTGAATTTCTGCATACCAAGTGTGGTAAGCCAGAAGAACACCCTTTGCTGCCATCCTTTGAAGTTGGTTCTAGAAAATTTCCCCGGTTTCTCAGCCGGAGGAACAGCAGTGCGACTTGACGAGGCTATCGTCGTTGCACCAACAATCGCAGAAGGATTTCCATTTTCATTTGCCATTTCTTACTGTCAACAACAGAAGGAATCAATTAATGGCAAAACCAAAACAGTAAATAATACTGTAATCAATAAACAGTACGTAATAAAAACAACTAAGGTTTTTATATACTGTTTTACAGAAAAACGATGAAGTTTTTATGTTCTTCAAATCGTTTTCTGAATTTCAATACCCTGATGAAGTTTTTATATCTTCAAATTAGAATAGTAAAATTCAGACAGAATATAGAATATAATAAATTTAATTTCCTTAAGAGTAGTGAGGTATTTTTTCTCATTATTTAGCAACTCGACCACGTTAGTTACCTCAAAATAGGGCTTTAAAAACTCATCTAGTCTCTCACAAACAATCATTCTCTTATTTAAGATAGGAATTTTGGCCCCACAATAAAACTAAGATATGAATCTAGTAATTAATTGGTGCTTCTGACATGGTATTAACTGGCGTTTGAAATATGCTAAAACTAATAGCCGCCTTTCACATTTCACAAGCTGTAATTTTCTTTATTTAGTAACACAAAATGCAGTGAGAGTTCCATTTGGAACTGCTGAAACATATCAATATTAAATAAAATGTTCGTTTCCAGTTGGCAACAAGTAATTTCTTTGGCCATCACTTGTGATCCGAAAACAAAAATTCCATGTAGTTTGCAAAAGAAAAGCACTACTTAAAAAAAAAAAAAAAAATTAACGACAGACAAATTCTGTAGCTAAACAGTAAAATCCATTGCTAATCCTATTTAAGGACGAATTAGCAGCATATTATCAAAAAAATCTGTTAGCTACGAGTGATTTAGCGATAGCTTAGCGACGAAGTTCGTAGCTAATTCCAGTTTTTTTTACTTAGCTAGATGAAAATGAAGAAGAAAAAAAGTTCTTAATATTACAAGAAAATTTGCACTGTTTAATTTTTTTTCTTCAAATCCAAATTAATAGGAAGACGTGGAGGTCGAGCATTAGGATAGTCGAGTGTTTTCCTTATTCTTATCAATAGTAGTAGTGTTAGTCTTGTAAATTCTTATTCCTAGATTTCTATAACTATTTGCTATTTCTTTCGCTTCAGTTTTCATGTTAGATTGATGGTGTTACTACTTGCTGTTATGGTTTCCTTTTTCATCTTTCCTTGAGCCGAAGGTTTACAGAAAACAATCTCTTTACCTTCTCAAGAGGGGGCGTAGCCACATACATTGAAGGGTAGTCAATTGAGCACCCTTCATCGAAAAATTATACTGTTCATATAGAAATTTATATTGTGTATATAGGTTAAAAACTATTGTTTATATGGGTATATTAAATATTGAACACTCTTCGCGAAATTCCTAGTTTTGTCACTGAATCTCAAGATAGGGGTAAAGTCTACATACACACCGCCTCACCAAACTTCATTTATGAGATTACACCGAATTTTTTGTTGTTGAAAATTGAAAGTCAACCACATTACTCTACTAGCTAGGTTTGTAATCTGTATACACAAATAACGAGGAAACAACCAAAACAACCAATAATTGTATGATATCTCAGTGTTCATGAAAACTAATATATGGCAAGGGAGTGGAAATATTAAAAAATAACAATCACTTTGCTTTACTCCATTTTCTGTGTGGCAGGTAACAACTACTTGTTAAAAAGATACTATGGAAATATTCAAAGTGATCAAGAAATGGACTTTAATTAATAAGATGATAATTGGTAGATCCAGCTGTTAAGAATTGTTAATAATTTATAGTCTTAGATTATCAATCAGACAAATTGAATTGGTCCTTCAAACAGCTCTTTATCCCCTAGGAATGTTAGTATAAATACATTGGCCACTGTATCCCTTAAAGCCATCACTTCTTCACATTATTTCCTTTCTTCAACCCCTTCAAAGTTTTTTGGAGATTTCACTAGCCATATTTGGGAGCTAGTGCAGGAATTTTCCGGCGAAATGAGTCGGTTTCACCATGGCGGCCTTGCCAATGGTCGTCGATATTTGCCACAAATCTTAGTGGCATTGGCCATATTGGCGGTTGCTAATGTAGTGTCAGCAGATCCTTATATATATTCTTCTCCACCACCTCCAGCATACGAGTACAAGTCACCATCACCTCCGTCTCCTTCTCCGCCACCACCTTATGTGTATAAATCTCCACCTCCCCCATCACCTTCTCCCCCGCCACCATATGTTTATAAATCACCTCCACCTCCTTCTCCATCACCACCTCCACCATATGTGTATATGTCTCCTCCACCCCCATCACCTTCACCTCCACCGCCTTATGTGTATAAATCACCACCTCCTCCTTCGCCATCTCCCCCGCCCCCGTATGTGTACAAATCTCCTCCTCCACCATCACCTTCACCACCACCTCCATATTATTATAACTCGCCACCTCCACCTTCACCATCACCTCCACCACCATATTATTATAAATCTCCGCCACCACCCTCGTCATCACCACCTCCACCTTACTATTATAAGTCTCCACCGCCACCTTCTCCTTCACCTCCTCCACCATACTACTATAAATCTCCACCACCTCCTTCACCTTCACCTCCGCCACATTATTATTACAAGTCTCCGCCTCCCCCATCACCATCACCACCACCACCATACTATTACAAGTCCCAACCAACACCTGCTAAGTCACCTCCTCCCCCATACTACTACAGTTCTCCACCACCACCACTAATGTCTCCTCCTCCACCATATTATTATTCCTCACCACCACCACCAAAAAAATCATCTCCGCCACCATATCACTATACTTCCCCACCACCACCAGTTAAGTCTCCTCCTCCACCATATTATTATTCCTCACCACCACCTCCTAAGAAATCACCTCCTCCCCCATATCATTATAGTTCCCCACCACCACCAGTTAAGTCTCCTCCTCCACCGTATTACTATTCCTCACCACCACCGTCCAAGAAATCACCTCCTCCGCCTTATTACTACTCTTCTCCACCACCACCAAAGAAATCACCGCCGCCACCATATCACTTCTCTTCCCCATCACCACCAGTAAAGTCACCTCCAACTCCATATTACTACACCTCCCCACCACCACCAAAGAAGTCCTCTCCCCCACCACACTATTACACTTCACCGTCACCACCTACTCATTACTCTCCTCCACGTCATCATTTGGTGGTAAAGGTTGTCGGAAAGGTCTACTGTTTTAGATGCTATGATTCAAAATACCCAGAAAAGTCTCATGGCAAGAAACACCTGAAAGGTACTATCTTTATACGATGCCCACTCTCTTTATTTACTTTTAACTTATCATCAAAAATTTATTTAGCTATATATTTTCCTTTTTGTTGCTTTACTAATAAAAAGGAATAAGAATAATTAAGTAAAGTTAGAAAAAAAATAGTTTTTATCATGTGAGCAGCTCAATTATTTTAGTGTTAATTAATATATTATTTTTTTTCACATGAATTAGGTGCTGTTGTTAAGGTAACTTGTAAGGCCGGTAACAAGAAAATTGTGAGTTACGGTACCACAAAGATCAATGGCAAATTCAACATTACTGTTAAAGGATTTGAATATGCTAAATATGGAGGAAAAGCTTGCAAGGCTAAACTACACAATGCTCCAAAAGATTCAAAGTGTGACATTCCTACAAACCTTCATTGGGGAGTAAAGGGCGCTAACCTTAAAGTGAAGTCAAAGAACCATTATGAAGTTGTACTCTATGCAAAACCATTTGCATATGGCTCTAAGACACCTTATGCAAAATGCACAAAACCTAAGCCTACACCTACTCCATACTACTATAAATCTCCTCCACCTTCATCACCGACTTATATTTATAAGTCACCACCTCCTCCATCACCAACATATGTTTACAAGTCACCACCTCCCCCAACCCCGATATATGTTTACAAATCTCCGCCACCACCAACTAAGTCTTCACCATCTCCTTATTACTACAAGTCTCCACCTCCACCATCACCAAAACCTGCTCCTGTATACTATTATAAATCACCACCACCTCCATCACCATCGCCTCCACCTCCTTACTATTATAAATCTCCTCCACCACCATCACCTTCTCCTCCTCCTCCATATTACTACAAGTCGCCACCACCCCCATCACCATCGCCTCGACCACCATACTACTATAAGTCACCATCACCGCCATCCCCATCACCACCCCCGCCCTATTATTACAAGTCTCCACCTCCACCATCACCAAAACCTGCACTTGTGTACTATTATAAATCACCACCACCCCCGTCACTATCGCCTCCACCTCCTTACTATTATAAATCTCCTCCACCACCATCGCCTTCTCCTCCCCCTCCATATTACTACAAGTCGCCACCACCCCCATCACCATCACCCCCACCACCGTACTACTATAAGTCACCACCACCACCATCTTCATCACCACCCCCGTCGTATTACTATATGTCTCCTCCTCCACCATCTCCATCACCACCCCCGTCTTATTACTACAAGTCTCCTCCACCACCATCACCATCTCCTCCACCACCCTATTACTATAAATCACCACCACCTCCCTCGCCATCACCTCCACCTCCATATTACTACAAGTCTCCACCACCACCATCTCCATCACCGCCACCACCCTATTTCTACAAGTCTCCTCCTCCACCATCGCCTTCTCCTCCACCTCCATACTATTACCACTCTCCACCTCCACCAGTAAAGTCTCCTCCTCCTCTTATTACTACAACTCACCTCCTCCACCAGTGAAATCACCTCCTCCACCAGTATACATTTATGCTTCTCCGCCACCTCCAATCCACTACTAAGTATTTCTAAGAGCTCAGCCATTCTCCATAATCAATCAAGTGAGTAGCTGTTTGAAATGTGTATTCTTTTTTTCCATATGAAATCAACTTTTTATTTTTCTTTTCTTTGAATTATGTTCTGATCTTCTATTTCCTTGTTTCTTTTCAGATTTTAGTTTGAAGCACTAAATAAATGCTGGCTTCTTGAGGAGAAGATTCAAACGTCAAATGATGCAAAGCAATTAATTTATGGAATAAGATATTCAACTTTTCAATTGAAGGATTGATTCTTATTGCACATTGTTCTCTAGTGCATTCACGGGGACAAGGCTACAATGATTTTGATTCTTCATATATAGAGTTTGTTTTTTAGTAATTTATTGTTGTATTGAGGATGTCCTCATTTTATTCATTTCCAATTAGTTATTGCAAGTTGTTTTCTTGTAATACCTTAGTGTACTTTGTGCACAAATCAATAAGAAGATCAATTTCGTTATATTCACTGCTTTTCTTTTTCTTTTTGCCTTTCCCCCCTCTGTAAACGTGTTACAAACAAATTGGTCTTATATCCTTATATATAAACAATATAACGCCCCAATTTTTAATAAGATATTATGTACATTAATTGACTATCTTTAATTAAAAAACCTATATATTATTAGATATTTTTATCTTTTTCTTAAGTTTAAGCTTTTATATTATTAAAAAGTGTTTTTGTTTAAATAATTAATTTTATTATTTAATTTATATGTATATTGGTAGCAAGTTCATTAACCATTTTAGAAAGATTAAATTAGTTGGGCTAATGTGAAAGGTTAAAAATATATCTTGGAGCTAATATATAATGTGAGAGAGTTATATGGTTCTTCACATATTCTAATAAAAGGTGGGGATTAAATGTCTTAGGTTCTCCGATTAGAAACTTTTTGGTGTAAATATTCTAGTGCCCAACACTTGTTAGAAACAATTGGTATGTAGTAGACTACTGTAGTGCCAGTAAAAACTTTGTGGATAGTATTAAGCCTTGGAAGGATAAGACTTTTGGTCACATAATGGGGAAGGATAAGACTTTTTGGGAAAATTCTAGCAAGGCTTCAAGGAATTCAAAAGTCTAGTAATTATACTCACAGTGACTTCTTTCAGATATTAGAATATAATCTAAAGAAGGATTACAATGACATCCTTAAAATAGAGGAGGATTACTGGAAAATGAGATCTAGGATAATGTGGCTTAATGAAGGAGATGCTAACACTAGATTTTTTCACATATCAGCATCAAACAGAAGAAGGAGAAACAAAATAACCTACTTTAAAGATGATGCTGGAAATTGGCTTAGCGAACACCACTTGATCATGTAACACGTTTTAAATTACTTTACTGATATTTTTATACCTCTCATTCTTCTACTAATTGGAATAGTATCGTAACAAGTCATCCTAGTCATCATAAATTAGTCCTAACTAATCTAGACAATCCTCTATCTGATAGTGAAATCAAGAAGGCAATTTTTTCATTTAATCCTTTCAAAGCCCCGGGGTCAGATGGCCACCACCCTTTTTTCTTTCAAAAATATTCGAGCATCATAGGGCAATCTGTCAAGAATCTTTGTCATGATATTTTTAAAAATCAAGAAATTCCTAAAGACTTAAACAAAACCTACCTTTTCCTTATCCCAAAAATGCCTAATGCCAATAACATCAAGAACTTTAGACCTATTGGCCTTTGTAATATTATTTACAAAATAATTACCAAAATTCTTGCAAACCATCTCAAACCCTTCCTAGAGAAAATTATTAGTCCTTCCCAGACTAGTTTCATGAAGCATAGAAGAGCCTCAGATAGTGCAATCATTATCCAGGAACTAGTTCCCAACCTGAAAAATTTAATAGGTAAACAAGATCACATGATCTTGAAAATTGATCTTGAAAAGGCGTTTGATCGTTTAGAATGTTCCTTTGCATAACGCACTCTTAGATGCTTTAATTTCCCTCCCAAATTCTCCAAGCTTTTACTAAATTGTATTACAACCAACTCTATAGCAATACTAGTTAATGGTTTTATCACAAAATTCTTCGAACCAAGTCGAGGGATAAGTCAGGGTGATCCTATATCTCCTTATATTTTTATCCTATGTATGAAAATGTTATATAGGTATATTAATCACCAGTAGATATTCGTAAATGGGATCCTATCACTATAGGAAGAAAGAGCCCAAATTTTTCTCACTTGTTTTTTGAAGATGACTTGACATTAATGGCTAAAGCAAATAACAAATCATGCCAATCCATTAAAACAGGTCTAGATTATTTTTGTAAACTGTTAGGAATAAACCTAAACCCTTCAAAATCAAAAATATTTTTTTCATAAAACTGCGTGCCTCACATGATCAATGATATTGCGCACAGTCTTGGTGTTAAAAAGAGTGAGACCTGTGGTACCTACTTAGGATTTCTAATATTAAATAAATATCAAGACCAGTTGATTATCAATTTATAATTGATAAAATGAGAGCAAAACTAACTTTCTGAAAAATGAAATTTATTAATATAGCGGGAAGAACTACTCTAGCTCAATCGTGCCTAAATACAATACCAAACCACTATATGCAATATACCCTACTACCAAGGAAAACCCTTAAAAATATTGATAAAGTCCAAAGGAATTTATATGGGGAACTACCACAGAAAAGAAAAAAAATTTACCTATTAAAATGGTCAAATGTTTGCCAACTAAAATCCAATTGGAGCCTAGTCATTCGCAGTGCCGGTGCAAAAAATATGTGCATCTTAGCTCTCCTAGTATGGAGAATTCTCACTAATGCTACAATTCCCTGGCCAAGACTTATTATCACCTCGTATGGTATTAGTACAACTAAGTCCAAGCAATCCTTCATTTGGAGAGGCATCCTAAAGGGGTGGGAGATTGTAACGACCCGGCCGATCGTTTTGAGAGTTATAGCCTCGATCCTAATTACTGCTTCCCTCGTATCTATTGCTGCTATTGTGACTTTCCGGGAGGTTTTGGTTTGGTTTTTGGAGTGTTTTGGCACACTTAGTCGCTAAACGGAGGCTTAAGTCTTAAGATTTGGATCGTAGTCAGAAATGTATGAAGACGACCCCAGACTGGAGTTCCTTCAATTCCATAAGCTCCGTTGGATGATTTTGGACTTATGGGCATGTCCGGATTGTACTTTGGAGGTTTGTAGCTTATTTAGGCTTGAAATGGCGAAAGTTGAAATTTTGAAGATTTGACTGGTGGTGGACTTTTTGATATCAGGGTCGGATTTAAATTCCAATAATTGGAGTAGGTCCGTAATGTTGAATATGACTTGTGGGCAAAATTTGAGATCATTCGGGCGTGATTTGATAGGTTTCAGCATCGGTTGGGGAGATTTGAAGTTTTAAGTTTATTAAGTTTGAATTGGAGGGTGATTCGTGTTTTTAGCGTTATTTGATGTGATTTGAGGGCTCGACTAAGTTCATATGGTGATTTAGGAATTGTTTTAATGTTTGGTTGAGGTCCCGGGGGCCTCGAGTGTGTCTCGGATGCCCAACGGATGGATTTTTTTAACTTAGGAGGTTGCTAAAGTTTTATGGTGTCTGAGTTCTGGTTTCCTTATACGCGATCGCGTGGGGGTGATCAACGATTGCATAAGCTAGCTGGGCGAGAGGATGGATTTTTTCTTCGCATTTGCGGACAGGAGTATGCGAACGCGTAATGATGTGAGGTAGTGCTTCGCGAATGCATAGCCAAGGTCGCGTTCCCGAGTTTTAAGTGGACCAAGCTGGGCCACGCGCTTTTCTCATCGCGAACGCGTTGGGTTGTTCGCGATTACGTAAGTATAAGAGTCAGAGCATTGCGTTCACGTGGAGTTTATGCGTTCGCATAGAGTTAACTTCTGGGGCAGCAAAGTTGAGCTTCGCGATCGCTAGGCTATTTTCGGGATCGCGATTAAGGAATCACTAGGCAGTATTAAACATTTCAAAAATGAGGTTTTGGCCATTTTTATCAAAACTTGAGTTTGGGAGCTCGGATTTGGATGAGATTTTGAGGGATTTTAAGAGATATCAATTGGGTAACGATTCTACACTTGATTTTAATTATAACCCACTAATCTATCATTAATTTTATCATTTAATTCGGATTTGGGGTGAAAATTTGGGAAATATTTGAGAAAAGTTTTTAGGCCGAATTTTTGGATTTTGATCGAGATTTTTGTATCAGATTTGAGTAATTTTGGTACGAGTGAACTCGTGAATGAATGTGTGTTCATATTTTGCGACTTTTACCCAATTCTGAGACATGGGCCCAGGGAGGCTTTTTCAGCGATTTTTCCAATTTCTTGCTTGAGCTTTGATTTCATTAGCTAGATTAGTTCCTTGTAGTTATATTTTTATTATGTAATTGATGTTGGCTAGATTTGGTCCATTCGGAGTCGGATATTCTAGGGAAGAGCATCGTTACGGCTTGGTTCGAGGTAAGTAGCTTGCCTAACCTTGTGTGGGGGAACTCCCTTTAGGATTTGGTGCTGTTTGATATATGAGCATTGTGTACGAGAAGTGACGAGTGCGTACATAGGCTAATTGTTGTAAAAATCCAGTTTCACTAAGTAATAACCCGTTTCTCTTTATTTGAACTACACTAGCATATGTATCTATCCGGTTTAGTTTAGAATAACATGTCTACGTGTCTTAATTGCCTATTTGAACTCTATGCAGCATGTTTAGTAAATTGCCTATGTTTCCTTGACTTGAACTTAGTTTAAGCTGTAAGTTTTCTTGCTGTAACTGTTATTTCTGTTGGTTGAGATGCATATTTACTTTGGGACTATGGAACGGTATTCCGGGAGATCCCCTTGTACTGCATATTTACTTTGGGACTACGGAATAGTATTCTGGGAGATCCCCCTGCACATTTACATTTGGGACTACAAGATGATATCTCGGGAGATCCCCTATTGTTATCTCTGTGTACTGAGTTGTTACCTTTCTATGAGTTCATTCTTGTTAAATTTTGAGCCTTTATTATACCGCGATATTTTATTCTGCCTTGTTTTTATTATATATATATCAATAGGGCCCTGGCCTGATCTCGTCACTACTCGACCGAGGTTAGGCTTGGTACGTACTGGTACCTTTGTGGTGTACTCATGCCCTTCCCTGCACATATTTTTCGTGTGCAGATCCAAGTACCGCTTATCAGCCGCATTATTAGTGAGTCAAAGCAGCTTTGGAGACTTCAAAGTATATTTTCTGCGTTCGCAGACCTCGAAGTCCCTTTCTATTCTTCACCATGTCAAACACTTCCTGTATTTTTCTTTCGTTAGACTCTGGAGTATAGAGATACTATTTTTCTTTTTGTAGTTTGTGACTCATGATATTTCGGGTTTTAGGAAAACTGTGTATATCTAGTGTTTGGTTATTGTACATGCTAAGTGGCATTATTATTGGTCATTCAGTATCTAGTGTAGTTAGCAGTTTATTTTGTTTCTATTGTTGATA